CGAAAATGTTTGGTCGATAATCGATTTTCTGTGACAAATAGAACACGAGAGTAAAGTAATACATTTTGATTCAATATCGATAAATTGCAACAACGTCGGTATTAATATACGATCAAAATAATCTAATTGACAAGATGGTTTGCCAGCTTTTTGTATTAGTCCCAGACTTTGACTGCTTAGGAAATTTATATGGGTCTTGATATGATTACCCGAAACGGTTGTTTTTGGTTTCGTTAAACCACCATGTCCTTGAGAATAATTTATCACTTGTTTAATGAAAATCAGAGTGATACCGACAAGTACATCATATTGCTGGAATGCGTCGCTCGATACTACTATTTTTTCTAATTTCTGCATGAAATCACTGCAGGCAAATACCGTTTGCATGCTCGAATTAAACCAGCAGTAGTTATTACCCTTATTTGTGAAGGCAAATATAACTGGTTGTTCTACTTGGCTGGTAGCTGTAAGAAAAAAATTGATTAGTAAGACATATAATGTCGTATTGTGACTGATAATATCATACCGAAGTGTGACTTATTTTCTTTAATAAAACGGTTATTAATTTGAGTTACTAAATTGATTGTCGGTTTCTCTTGATAGACTCCGGTTGGTTTAATTGGATGCTTTCTCTTATTCCAATTTTCAGTGGCTGGCTTGTGCTTTTTTGTTGGTAACTTCTTTTTGTTACGATTCAACACATGATAGTCGGCATAATTCGTTTCGACCGCAACAATTGTTTCACCAAGTCTAGCAACAGCTTGATCGATACGATTATACACTTTATTACATAAAATTGTTTGTTTCACCACTCTCATTCGTGATTCCGAAAGTCCGGTAGTACGACTTTTATGACAACCACAATGCTTGTACTCGACGTTGATATTATAACCGTAACGTGACGCGACATTGCCGAGCAACAGATTGGACCAGATAGGAGTTGTTGGGATATACAATTTCAGAATTTTCTTCAAGAAATTTTCAGAATGAATTTGATTAGTTTTCAAATGAGACCACGATGGCTGCTGATATGTTTCGATTTTTTTCATCGTCGATTTGTATATTTCGGTAAAATGACTTTTGAATGATGAATGCATGTTCAAAACGGTCTCTTCTTCGCTGCCCACAATGTCGTCGTTATCTTCTTCATTCCCATCTTCGTCCTAAAATTCATACATAATATTGAATAAAAAAACAGAAGACATAAGTGAGACAATCTATAGATTACGTCTAACAGCACGATATTATGTTTGCATTCTGCATTGCCATTAACATGTACGTTTTGTAAAATAAAGCTTTCTTTGTCTGGATCACCATTCATTGTATCGGCCATTTTGGACAAAGTTGAAAGTGAAAATTTAAATAAGTCATTTTGAGTCGAACTTAATAAAACTGTACATATATTCTCCCATACAACGTCCATTTCATTCAATGTATTGCAATTAACTAATAAAGCAATCAGCCACATTCCAAATGGAATCTGAAAAAAAATTGGATCCTAGTATATTCGTTGTGTACATAAGTATGGTATTACCTGTTTCTTTTGGAGTTCTTTCGTTGCATGTTTTTTTACATTTTTCATTAAATGTCCCAAGCAAGAATGAACAATGTTCTTGGTCAAATCAGCGTGTGTCGCTGTTTTTTGTACAATTCTCCAACCTCTTTCAACATATTCTGCCATTGTTTCGTCTTGATTAAAGAATTGCAGACCGGCTAACAGAAATACCAATGCCCGATCGGAATGTATAACAGGTGGCTTCGGGAACGGCTCTCCATATCCATAAACGGTTTTATATCGTTCTTTAAAACAATTCATCCAATGGACGATATCCATTGCACCATGCGAATTCGATAACATACAGGTGACAGGTAATGATGGACCACCTTTACTCAAATTACTCATGGTTAATTCATAATAGTATATTCGTTTCCCGTGGTTAGCGACAATGCCACCGGTTGCATCCCATGACATTGGCATATTATCACCGTAGGCATGCCAGGAAGCGATTCCTCCAGCAGTAAAACAAATGAGGCGTAATGGAACGGTACAAATTTCCTGAAGAAAACCTGTCACTTGCTCATCTGGTGATATTTTTAAGTTCTGTTCGTTTTGTATGAGTCGGAGACTTGTATCTAATTCTTTATCTTTCGATAATTTCACATTTTGATCACTGGCAATTTTTCTGATGACTGATGGGCTGGATCCGACGACGTTTCTGTTACCAGATTCTCTGTTGTCTGTCGACAAAGACTTAAGCTTTTCGAGACGAAGTGAGCCGGGCGTAGCACCGACCGCTATTTGATTGCCAAATTCTATTCGACGACTGGCACGTATAGGACGAGACAAAAGTTGAATACGACTATGATTAACAGCTCCCAAATAGTTGAATACTAATTTACCACCATTCAATATAATACAATGAAATCGACAAGTACAATCTTCAAATGCACAGTGTGCATCAGCGCTGAAGAGGAAATCGTCTTTCTTCCGTTGCTTCGTGCTTTTTGTCCAATGATGCTTATCATACATAAATACACAAAAATCGTTTGTTGCTTTAACATATTTATCAATTAATACTGTCCATTCCAAATTTCGTGATTTTTTGTTCTTATCATCGACATCTTCATTCATGCTGTCGACACTGGAAGAAGATTTAATCACATGTTTCATGTTACGTTCTTCGAAAAGTCTACGAAACTTGACCATATCAGGATCTGACACTTGTATGACGGAATTGTTGAGAACATTTTCTTTCAACTTTTTACCCGTCCGACGTTGAAGAGTATTCAACACTGTTTGTTCGGATTCAGTGAAATCTTCTTCTTGATTGCATTGATTATGGGCGCATAATTTCTTTTG